AGAGAGAGAGAGTGTGTGTGTTTCACGCCTTCACTTACACAATTCAAATAATTTAGGAGGCGGGCTTTCGACCCTACCTGTCAGATCTAACCCAGGCTGCGTTGGGCACAACATCAGCAAGCAGACAGGGATGCCTAATTGTGTCACGACGCGGTAGAATCAGCTGCTCGTCAAGTTTTGGGTATGTTTTGCTACAATAGATATAATAATCCTGAAGCTTGTTTATTTGTCTTGCTATTGGTTTTTTTAAAAACCCACTCATTTTATTTTATTTAAAAATTTTTATTTTTTTTACATAGATTTAAATATCTAAGTCGAGATATTTGCGATGGAAGGCGGTGGGAGGTTATCTTAGAGAAAAATGGTCACCAAAGTTTGGTGACTTCCAAAGCTGTTGTATTCTTGGAAACAGCAAGTTTATATTGCTGTGACTTTTATTTTCCTACGTTTTCCTGTAAAATGCACCCAGGTATGGGTTTTTAAATGAACATCAAATGTGTTGAACATTTCAAAAAAAAAGAAAATGAAACGCTTTCATTGTCTTGACGAGCGCCTCATTTCACCACGACGCCACCCAATAATTATACATTACAACTACCCGATGGGGAAACGAACTCACGTCTTTAAAGTGCTGCGGCGTAGAGCCTACCTAAGCACTACACCACTGAGGCCGGTCAACCCTGCTGCGACCTAAAGGTAAATCGCTCAGGTTGTTTACCTGTATCAAAGACTCTCTACTACAAAGGGTCAGAGGGAAGAGGGGTAGTGAAAAATCTTTGCCTGTGTGGGATAGGCCTCTATATAAATACAGTCTATTATCACCTATTGTTATTACTGAATGTCAGGGTAACGTGATCTTGTCAAGAATCCTTAAAAACTTACCAGAAAGGTATCTGTGATATCACGTATACAGATAAGAGGTAACTGATATCGCAAAAATGTCGTGTACTTTTCGACATGCTTCAAGCACAAAGTTCGCGTGTTCGAACAGGGTTTTATTTCTGTCTCACAGCAGGTTGCACGCAACTAGTTATGTATGAAACATCTAAATCAAAGTTTGATCATTTTTAAAAAATGGTGAAATGGTATAGGTCTAACAGCCCTATCAGCACTGTCAGGTTATTTAAGAGGCGGTACCTCTAAGTTAAACGTCCATCTCCAAAAGGACCGAGCCAAGTTGGAGATTTGTGTTAAGCGCCTTTACACGATTACGAGTCCGGCAGCCTAACCACTAGGCCACCATATTTTTAAAAAAGCTGCTGACAATAATAAATGGAAATAGAAACAGCAGAAATAATATGGTTTCTGAGAAGAATATTGACAATTTTATGGAAGGAAGTGTAGTTTTGGTTTTAGCAGGAATGTTACTGCATTTGCGACACAAATAGATCGCAGACGTGCCGAAGGTAAAAAGACTTGTTACTAGAGAGTAATATGAAAAGAAAATAGGGAGGAGAGATAGGAACGATAGATGTTAGATAGGAAAGAAGGAGCAAACCTCACCGCAGCGCCTGCCAACCACCCACTCATGGAAGGAAAAGAAATCAAAGAGAATGCTGTAGTACTAAATGTCAGTTACAGCAAGCTGTTCTCACTTTTATGAAATACAGTTTAAATATCTAAGTTATAATAATGCTTATTTA